TTCTACTTTCACAATACACGGTCTCGTCAAGGTGCGTCTTTGACCTCGCAGTGTTGGATCGTGAATTCTCTTTTTAAGCTGTTTGCCTATTTTGAAATCTCTGTAAATGAAAACTAAAGGGGTTGATATGTGCGAGTTAATGACGCGCCTTATCAACACATTGTGTTGGAGTTCACTGCTTGTTTTTTCTTGTCGATGTTTTCAAGAGTCTGGACTCTAGATCCAATGTGTGTTTTTTTCCAGTGTTTGGAGTTTGAAGTATTCCACAATGTAATGATCACGAAATTGAAAGGGATGGATACAACATCCAGCCTCACTCGTTTATCGCAAGAGAAACAGGCCAGCCGCCTAATTGAGAGATCGTTTCGGAATTTAACGACACTATTAAACTGGCTGTATCGTTTGAGGGAACCATACTGTCTCATGAGGTTAGTGCTCGTGAGGAAGAAGCATCTTCAATCGCAAAATAGAGTTTAACATTCTAAAGGTGGAATATATTGTTCCACAAGGTAGACTTTTAAGGAACGTGCGGCAACGTTTCTCCAACGCGATTATTAAAAGCTGTATTTTGATCCATTTTACACCGCGAACGCCCTAATTAGTTTTCAGCCAATACCGTTTTCATTCATCGAAAATATGCACCCCATTATCCCTTTTTCACGGGTTGTGTTTTCCCTTAAGCTGTGTTTCATATTAACCCGCCCGTAAAATACCGCGGAAATTGCAATCTTCGCAGGTAGTTCGCACTAATTAGGAAACTGGGATGTGGCTTCTGGAATTTTACTTTTGTTTCGCTTGTTATTCCTGCGAGATTTCAGCTTGGCGATAGCTCCAGGGCACACCACGGAATATTCAGTAACCTCGCGTCTTTACGTGTCTACGAAAGATATTTTTAATTGTCAGATTTTTCTCCTGTTACTTTTGAAGCAGTTGCATGGACTCTGCTACCATCATTCTTTTCAAACTTGTATTATGTTTCTTTAAGAAGCAAATCAAGTATTATGTAAAAAAAAAAAAAAAGACAACGACTTCGATTTCTGAAACACCTACAGGATTCTAATCGTTAATTGGGCTAAATTTTTCAATAAAGAAATTCAATTTATTGTATTTAGCAAATGGGTGGTTTTTATACGAGGATTGAAAATAAACAAGTGGTACGGAATATAACATAATAGTATGAATTATGCAAAACGATAATCCGGGTATCGGAACTTGGCTGTTTTGAACACGCCTTCAAATACGGCGTGATACCTCACGCATTCCGGAGAGTTCAAATAGTTGTATCATTGCGCCGTAAGAATGTGACGGAAAATTACAATTGAAATAGCCTTCATGCACGCTGACGCTGGCCTTTTCGATGTCCTTTGACATTTTTGCAGTGGTGACTGCAAAGATGAATTGCGCTCCAGTTAGAATTGTATTTAGCAAATGGGTGGTTTTTATACGAGGATTAAGAATAAACAAGTGGTTAGAAATGAAAACAAAATCACATGAACTATACAAAACGATAATCCGGGTATCGGAACTTGGCTGTTTTTGAAAACGCCTTCAAATGCGGCGTGATACCTCACGCATTCCGGAGAGCTCAAATAGTTGTATCATTGCGCCGTAAGAATGTGACGGAAGATTACAATTGAAATAGCCTTCATGCACGCTGGCCTTTTCGATTTCCTTCGACATTTTTGCAGTCGTGAATGCATAACTGAATTGCGCTCCAGCTAGAATAATTGTGGACTCGTTTAGAAACAGCATACGTGTTATTTGTCACCCAATGAACCCATACTGCAAGATGAGTCCAATTGGTTCTTCTGAGACATATATGACGCCGAAAATGATTTTTTGAGGGCGCAAAGCGTTCTCTGGGGGTCAAGTCGTTTAGCGGCCAGGGCGCATTTCCTTAGTAATTTCTATTTCTGGTTCCGCCGTTAAAATTCATGAACACACCATGATCCCCAATTCGTCTTTAACGACGATTCTTCCAGACAAAACGTTCTCTTCAAGTCACTGTTTCGCCGCGAATGCTTTTCAAGAAAAACCGGCCCCCGTAGGAGGCGTAGACGACGCACAGTGGATCGAGTTAATCAGAGAGGTCGGACATGAAATTTTTGACTAAAAATGCTAATTTTGATATTTATTTCGTCACATTTCAACTGTAAGGGGTGTCTCTAGGAGAAAATTTAACGCGGAAACCAATGAAACCACTGTTGGAACCTCAAAGTTTGTATAAACGGAGTTACAGGGTTGCCACAGTCAGGGAATACCGGGAGAACCAGGAAATGTCAGGGACTTTTAAAAAGTCAGGGAAAACCGAAAAATGTCCGTAAAAAATTATCAAGTCACCTTTATTGACAATATCATGAGTTTGACATTTCGAACAACAAATACCTGAAAACTATTTCTTTTTAACCATCTATTATATCTTCAATTGTTAGGGATTTTCACCAAAATGTGTCAGGAAAATTAGGGAACTGTCAGGAAATTTAATTTTCTAAATTCAGTGGCAACCCTGAGTTTTAAACTTTTAAAGTTTCCAAACTGTGTCCGAGCCAGAGACAAGAGACCCAACACTGGCCTCTCGGCGACAAGTGGAGGTTTTTTTTTTGTTTTTTTTTTTTCTTCTGTTGTTTAATGGCTTTGTGACCAAGCACCTGCAGCCAACTTTAGACTAGAGTGTTTCTAAAGTGGAGGCTTTTACTTTCGGGAATTCAACAATTTCCTATGGACAATTATGAGGGAGCAACAGTCATCACCCCGATTTCGGCTCTTGACCTACCTACATGGTGGATGATGAGCTTCGAGTGACGTCATGAGCCAAACTAGTTTCCCAAACGTCGGCTTGTTTGCAAAACGAAACTGCCAACATGTTGTTAAATTTCAACCATGTAGGTAAGTCAACAGTAGAATGCTGAAGTCCCGAGGGTAAAAGCTTCCACCATGGCCAAGATATTAGTGGAGGATCTCTTGTCTCTGGTCCGAGCTCTCGTATTGACTGGAGCCACTGTGCGACGGGCGGGCGGGCCGATATTTCAACGGGCGCCTGAAATTAGTTTTTAAGGAGGGAAGGCGGATTAAAGCTCGTTATTGCTGGCGGCTCGGAGGACCGAGGCCGAGGATCGGAGTATATATCCTCCGGATTGAGAGTTGTTTTTGTGTGTTGCAGGAGGCGGTGGTGGAGGCGGCGGTTGAGATGAGCAGCAGTCTGACCCTGCCGCGCCGGAAACACTTGCTCGCACTCCTGGCTCTCGTCTTCATCCCCTGCGCCATCTACGTCTTCGTCTCCGAACCAGGTTTGTTCACATTTTACCATTCTTGGCTCCTAATCGGAAGCCATTCAGTGCTCCCGTCAAAAGTTTCGGGATTTGGAACTTTTTTGTTTCAATATCTCCCATTTCATGACCGTCAAAAGCTCCGGGAATCGGAACTTTCTTGTTCCAATTTCTCCCACTCCATGACCGTCAAAAATTCCGCGATTCCTTTTAGATTTTTTCAAAAGTTCCGAAAAAGTTCCGGAAAATGCAAAAAAAATTGGGAATTTCAAAAGTTCCGGAATTCGGAACTAGTTCCGGGTAATGGGAGTAGTGGGCCAAAGCAAACACGATAAAATCCGGATTTCCCGGTTTTTAATGTCTTTCAACACTGAACACCCGTCCATCAAAAGTTCCGGGATTCGGAACTTTTTTGTTCCAATTTCTCCCACTCCATGACCGTCAACAGTTCCGGGATTCTTTTAGATTTTTCATAAGTTCCGAGAAACTTCCAGAAAATGCAAAAGTCCGGAACAGTCTGGAAATTTCAAAAGATCCAAAACATCTCGGAAATACCAAAAGTTCTGAGAAAAATTTAGGAAAGTATCAAAAGTTTAAAATTCGGTGCTAGCTCCGGGAAATGGGATGAAAGCCGACTTTACACGCTGAAAATGGAGTCCCTAAAGCAGGTCATCGGTGTTGCCGTAGAATGTTGATATTCGAAACCCTTTTTCAGCTATTGTTCACTTTATACTAAAAAGATTACGAATTTGTACACATTTACAACTTATTACAATATTACCTTCGGGTCTAATAGGGGGTAACGTTTCGGGTAACTAGTGTTGCACCAAACAGCGTATCTCATCGAGGGAAAATTGAATCAGTGAGAACGAAAACATACCAACTCGATAACTCTAAAATCCTCAATTTTTATAAAGGTCATTGAAGTTAGAGAATCGGTTCCAACTTCGACCTTTAAAGTGTCCTTAAGTACTTTTCTTTCGGCACCAAAAATTTTCTTCTTGGACTTACTTCTTGACCGACCGTGCAGTTTTGTGTGTATCCTCATTATTTCCATTTTTTCGAGTTGGTGTGTTTTCGTTCTCACTGATTCAATTGTGCTCGAATGAGCTTTTTCCGTCTGTTTTGAGATTTCCACGTCTCTCGACTGTAACGCACGTTGGCTAAAAAATTCCAACTTGCTGTATGTACAACTCGTGCGTCTACTGCAATCAGTTTGTGAGTCTTACTTCAGGACACCCTGTATTTCGGAACTCTTTTTCTCCGAGGACTCTATCGAAGTTTATATAATTCAATCGTAAGTTCTCCCCACAGTGATGGGAGAAAAGCGTGAGGACGGAACATCACTTAACGCCCTCAAAATGTTACAAATACGTTTCCGGTGACACCCAAGAGGCGGACCGCAAACAGGCCGTCCTGGCGAAGACAGCAACTGAGCTATATCAAGTTGTCCTAAACTCCCGAGGGTGGAAAACTTAGTTCGACAAGCTTTATTCTGCGATTTATCGAAGTGTCGCACACAACACACAGCGCAACCGGCACGATTTGAATAAGCTTCGGTCCTCTAGAACTGTGAGAAGAAGTAGGGCATAGTGGAATCGATGTTTTCATTGAGTTAATGACAAACGAAAATCGAGAGGCACGATCGATACCGACTGTGACGTGGCACTAATGGCGTCTATAGAACCCAAAAAGGCAGTCAACCTTTTCACAAATAAAAACGTCGTATGAGCTTTCAATGTTGCCGAATTGCCCACCGGAAACTATTTTTGAAGAAAGTTATGATTATCTGGATTGCATTTTGCAAAAAGGAACCACTAGCATTGCAATGATGCTAAGATTGTGCAACTTCATCTTTTGCAATCAAGTTGCGGAAATCGTGAAGAACTATGAAATTTAGATGGTAATTTTTGTCTTAAATTTACAGTTTTTAGCGAGTAAAATAGAAACTATTATTGGATAATCGGGTTTTTCCTCCAAGACAAAAGAAGTTGCACAATCTTAGCACCATTGCAATGCTAGTGGTTCCTTTTTGCAAAATGCAATCCATCTTACCTTGAACTTTTTAAACATTACATCAAAATAACGAACGAAATCCTCGGAAGAATACAAAAATTTCCTGAAAATTCGTGAATCGTCGAAGGAAATTTGGCAATGCCTGATGGCCCATGCGGCGTTTTTCCTTAGCACGGCAGGCTGGTCCGGGGTTGATGAGCTGAGAATCGAGGATTTGTGAACCGAAAAGCGGGAGGAGGTAGATGCTCATCCTGACCCCGCGAAATATAGACCGGATAAATGGAGTCGTGGGGGAGGGGGTGTTCACGGGTCCGCACGGTGGAGGGTTTTTGTCGTTTTTAGATTAGGAAAATCGGGTTAGAGGCCACTCGAGGGACTACCCGGGGAAATCCAATTACGCGGTGTATAAGCCTAGGCAAGACGGACCTACTGACTTGTAGAGCCCGTGGGGGAGGGGGAAGGGGGGTGGTGAACTGCCAGGAGATTCGCAATCCCGACTTCGTCGATACGATTGGGGGCGTGCGAAAACACTTGTCTCTTTTCGTAACGCTGCTTATTGTTTGTGGCAGTGGCGTGGTGTGCTTTGCGATTTATCGATTGTTATGACATTTAAACCTATGGAAAAGGGTCGATAAAAAGGGTGTTCGCAGCGAACACCTTAATAATCGACTCTTTACCATAGCTCCAAATGGCGTAACAATCGATACATCGCAATTCACGTCATGCCAATGGTTTGTGGTAACATATTCCCTGAGAAGGCAAGACCCATGTCGCGTGAATTTGGAAGCTCCTACTTCGAAAACGGGCGGGTTTTAGGATATTTATTCAAATTGACGCTCAGGGGTACAAAAAGCGCTCTATCAGGCCAATCGTAGAGCAGTTACTGAAAAGAGGTAAAATAAATGTGAAGGCACCCGAAAAGGGGGAAAAAGACATGAAGGCACAGGGCAAAAGCCACCTAGGCGCATAGCTTTTTGCGAAGGAAGCTGTGCACGGAGGAAAAAACTTCGACCAAAAGTTTTCTGATGCGTGATCAGAAAACTTCAGAGATCCGTATGACCTCAACTTCGGGTCTCAGGCACGAAGTTTTTTTCTCCGTGTAGTAGGCATTTTCTCTTTTCTACAACTGCCTCATCCCGTCAACTTAATAATACAGGAACGTTCCGTGATTAAAAAAATTTTCTCCAACGCAACTTTTTTCTCAAACCGCGCGAATAATCTCTGAAATTCTATAGTTTGAAGTTGAATAGTAAGGTTATGTTTGATTGTTTGGATCCAGTTCGATACAACCGATACCGACTGTGACGTGGCACTAGTAGCGTCTATGAGCTCCATATTTCGACTTGCCCGTGCCCTTCCTGCGGGCCGATTATTGAAATTTTTAGACAAAGCTATAGACAAAGAAGACATAAGGAGTATAGAGAGATCCTATTGGTTGAAATGGGTAGTTCTTATAGATTAAGGGAGAAAATGATGGACTAACTATCGGGTCTCTCGTGGGTTGCGGTTAGGTAGTCTATTACCTACGTCCTTAGCCCATTGCCACCACCCGCTTCCCCCAATAGGATCCCTCCATACCCTTTTTGTCTTCTTTGTCTATTGCTTTGTCTATCAATTTTAATAATCAGCCCGCAGTATAGGTACTCTAGCTTGAAGCAAGCCGGAAACACGTTGACCTGGCCGCCCAAATATTTCCTTTGAGCAAGCGAGCTAGTTTCCGGGAATTTCCATTTCCGGTCGTTGGCCCTTTTATTGCCGTGCCATGGAAGAGGGCAGTAACTCCAGTGAGCTTCAGAGCGCATTAGAGGACGTGCCAACCGTGGCTCACGTCCGGCTGGAGTTACTGCTGTTTTGCACGACACGGCGGTTGAGTCCTTTGCTTTTGCCGACGCGGGCACGGGTGCAATTACGAGGAAACACTCCGGGACACACAGGGATCGCGCAGGGACTTGGCGCGCCTTCGAATATGCAGGATTCTTCGCGGGGAAATTCGCAGGGATTGATGAGGCGAACACGGCTCCATCGAGCTACCCGCACCGTCGTGTTCTGGAAGAACGCCGTTTGAACGTTCCGACGTTGTCGAATTTCTTCCAATTGTGTGCATTACCATTCATAATCGTATCTCATCACAATCAGTGTTCGAAACTCACAGGTGCCAACGCGCCAAATGCGCCAAAAAAATCGGCCATGGCGCCTAAAAAATGAAGGTTCTGCGCCAACGTGGCGTCCAAAAATTGCCCCTTAAAAATCTGAATTTTCATGTTAGGTGATAATTCGAAATTTTTAGTACTACAAGTGAAGCTTTTTCTATTCTTCACGATCTCATCCTTATTGCTTTTGTCTTCCCCAAATTATAGTTACTTACCAGTTCTGTTACGAAAACATCTTGCGTCTAACTTTTTACTAAATGTGCCGCAATATGTATAGGCAAAAAGTCAATTTGGCCCCTAAAAAATCTTCAATGGCGCCTAAAAATCCGGATCGGTGTGCCACATGGCTCCTAAAACTCAAAGGTGAGTTTCGAACACTGGCTGTAATAATAAATCACTTTGGATAATTTGAATTCATAGGTTGCCTGCCGTTTTGAGCCCTTAAAGCTCAATGACCTAACCTCAAAATCACCCCGTGCTCACTCTGCTCAGCCTAACTATTTTTGTCTTAACATAGACTTAGCCCCAACTTTCCCTGCTCGAAAGTCCGAGCCCGGGAAACCGCGAGGAGGTTATTAATCGATAATTGTTCCTCGCCCAAGTGTGCGCCAACACGAAACACGCAATTTGTACGTATTTTGACGCCCCTCTCGCTTGGTTGCGCTCGCGGCAGGGAACGCAAATTAATGTCTGGAAGATGTATTTTTAAGTCGTCAACAACCCGAGGAAGGACGGGGCGCTGTCTAAGAAGTGATTCCTCGCGGAAACGTGGAGGAGCGGCCCCAGTACCGCGCCCCCCCCCCGGTCCTGGGGGGGAAGGGGTTGTCAATGAAAAGGGCGCAATAAATCCTTTTG